TGCGCCTGCTGGTTTAAGGGATAGCATCTTCCCCTGCGTGCTAATACCCCTTGGTTTCTTGAATGCTTGCACTTGGAACTTGTTCCCCCAGCAGCCCCTCACATGTGAATCTTTGGCTTTCTTCGTGGACTTCTGCTTCAGCCAAGTGCTGAAGGCCTTGGACTCATTTTATTCAAATGGTATGAGCCCTTTAATATAGAATGCCAAGTCATCTAATAAGTGGGTTAAATTCACCAAGTATTTGGGCTTTATGGGCTATCTAAAGTAATGGGTTATTTTGGTTGGGCTACTCTAGTTGAAGCAATTGAGCTATTTCCTCTCTTGTGCTTACCCACATGTTTGGGCCTAAGAAATGAGCTTGGGTTCCGAGGCTCCCAAGTAACCCGGAACCTCCACTTCTTGGTCCATCAATGGGCCTCATGACAATTTATTACCATCCATACCACAACCCACTCAAGCAAGCCCCGGGTATTTGAGTGGCTTGGGGCCCACTTAAGCTTGTGGCGTGATTAGGTGCGGAATGATAATTCCTTGCTTAGCGTGGCGTGTCGTTTGGCGTGGCATGTGTACAAGCGCATATGATGAACTTTCGCATGCCCAAATCGGGTTTCTTCTTGGTAAAGCATCGCATTGGGCCGAGAATTTATTTGTGCCGAACCGTGAATATTTTGGGCCTCAACAATACTATAAAACAATCTCATAATCCAACATAATCAAAATAACTCAAATAACAATCAAGACTCATTTACAAGGTTATTCTAGTACTTTTCGAAGGGTGAAACTACCTCGGAAGACTCACAGTTAACCGAGGGGTCAAACTTCCCATAATGGTCAACAGGGCCCGCAGCGCCCTCAACCTCCGATTTCTAATCCAAAAGTTCATACAGGTTCAACAAAGCCTACTTAACATGTCCTGTAAGTTTGGTCATGATCAAGCAACTGGATCGCTCTCGATTGCACGATCGGAGGGTTACCAATTTACCTAACCTTAGAATCATTGATTCAGAGTATCCGGGACTCCGATTCTCAATCTGTGAGTTGCTACATGATCCTAGAGGTACAGAGAACAACATAAGAAATGGAGCTGATCCAACGGTCCGAACATATTGATCCAAAAATCGTCTAACAGGCGTAAATCTGTTCGACTGTCAAACGATAACTAATTCCAAATCCGACCATACCATCGTGATCATGATGACAAGGGGAAAATTTTGGAACATAATGGGCTGCCGCACATTGGCCCACACGCCAAGAGAGCGTGGGTGTCTTGAGAGAATTCCAGCGGCGGAAAATTCTCGAAACACCCTACAATACATATACCAATACGTTCAAACCAACAAGAAGAGTGATTTTTGTTCTTGGACTACAGCCAAAAACTATCCGAAACTAGCCGAAACGAAGCCGAAACCCTTGGCATAATTGGGGGTTAGAAATCGATCTCCAAAACCTCAAAATTAACCCAAATCCAGCACATAAACAGGTAGAGCACAAAGATTAAATGAAGTTTCATACTTGGTTCAACAATTTTGACAGCCGGAATAGCCGAAAATCTCATGAACACCGTTGACGACGAAAGGTGAGTTTTGGCTTAGTTTTAGTCCAAAATCGTGACCAATCTTGGAGTTTCGAAGGTGGAAATGGCTATGGATGAGTAAAGGAGGAAGAGACGAAGATTGTGCAACTTGTCCCATTCGATTTGGTGGTCGGATTGTGAGAGGGAGGGGAGAGAAAGAAGCTCGAGAGAAAAGGGTTGACCTGGTTTTTAAAAATCCAACTTTAAAAAAATTACAATTGTGCCATTGCACTTCCGTTGACCACAACTTCTTCCTTAAAACTCTAATTTGGGCCACTATGTGTCTACGAACTCGTATCAACAAGCTCTACACAACAGTACCACTCAAATCCCAAAAATCCTTAAGGATCGAAAAGTAATTAATGTGACCTTACTCCGAAGGCAAAATTATAATTTCTCAATTAAACAAATTGAATATATGGTTAAAATTGGGTCGGGGTGTCACACCTCCCTCTCTCTCTCTCTATAGAAACTCGAAGTACACTCAGTCAACGCACTCCAACAAATCTAATAGAAAGTCAAGTGAGTCAGACTCGGCGAGTTTGAAAACGGTGTGTTTCACGTCGAGGGAGGTGAGGGCTTGGAGGTAGTGGATGAACTAGATGGAAGTTAAGAGGTCGTTGATTAAAGGGTGGATGTGTTGGGTGGGGTGGGATTGATCGAACAGTTAGGGATAGGATGACGGATTGGACGGTGAAGGGGATGGGGCTTGCGAATGGGTCTTGGGGAAGGGGGTGATTAGGTTATAGGGGAGAAAGAAATAGGGTGGATGGCGCGACTGGGTTTGCATCTATGGGTGGTGGGGATAAAGTTTTTTTTTCGTTTTTATTCTCTCTTGCTTCCATTTTTAACATAAAATTGGATGAAATGTGGAGGATTTAGATGGCATGGGACAAATTGCCAAAAAAAAATCATATTTTTTTTTTTTTTTTTTTTTTTTTTTTTTTTTTTAAATAGGGATGAATTGAAAGTTAGATACCAATCACCACTTTATCCTTTCCAAAATGCCATTGTCAAGGGTGGAACCACTATATAGGACCTGATGTGGACTCAGCCTCTCTCTCTCTCTCTCTCTCTCTCTCTCTCTCTCTCTCTCTCTCTCTCTCTCTCTCTCTCTCTCGTGACACTCAGAGAGTTTGAAAACGACGTGTTTCACGTTAGGGGAGGTAAGGGCTTGGAGGTAGTTGCTAGACTCAATGTAAGTTAAGAGGTCATTGATTAGAGGGTGGAGGTGGGATTGATCGAACGGTTGGAGATGGGATGGGGATTTCGAATGGGTCTTGGGTCTTGGGTCTTGGGTCTAGGGTGGTCATGTCATGGGGGAGAAAAAAACAGGGTTGGTGGCGCGACTGGGTCTGTATCTATAAGTGGAGGGGATAAGGTTTTTCTTATATGTTTTTATTCTCTTTAATCATAAATCGCTACGTATGAGTTGAGTTACCGGTTAGGATCAAAACCAATTCAATTATCCTTTCCAAAATGCCATTGTCAAGGGTGGAACCACTATATAGGACCTGATGTACTCAGCCTCTCTCTCTCTCTCTCTCCTCTCTCTCTCTCTCTCTCTCTCTCTCTCTCTCAACACTCGGAGAGTTTGAAAATGACGTGTTTCATGTTAGGGGAGGTAAGGGCTTGGAGGTAGTTGCCAGACTCAATGTAAGTTAAGAGGTCATTGATTAGAGGGTGGAGGTGGGATTGATCGAACGGTTGGAGATGGGATGACGGATCGAACGACGAAAGGGGATGGGGATTTCGAATGGGTCTTGGGTCTTGGGTTTGGGGTGGTCATGTCATGGGGGAGAAAAAAATAGGGTTGGTGGCGCGACTGGGTCTGTGTCTATAGGTGGTGGGGATAAGGTTTTTCTTATTCGTTTTTATTCTCTTTAATCATAAATTGCTATGTATGAGTTGAGTTATAGGTTAGGATCAAAACCGATTCAATTAACCCGTGCCCACCCCTACTTATAACTCCTTGAATAGCATTAACACCAAGGAACTAAAATTATAGATAAATAAATAAATAAATAAATAAAAACCTATTTTCTCATTGCAATTTGAAAACTGTCCATAACTATTAGTAATACAGTATATAAATTAAGATTTATCATTGCTAACACATGTAAAACTCTCTTTTTTATGTATCCATCAAATTTCATTAAGATTAGATCGCATCTAATTTGAAATCATTTGGTTCCGGACATTCAAAGTTAGCATGTGAAAAATACTATTGAAACCGAAAGTTAGAGCTAATGCTTTGAGTAGTTGTAGACTGCAGTAGGTTATGGTGGTAGAGCAGTGTCGGTGGGGCAGAAAGAGTCGGCAATTTGACCTGCCTTCCCTTGGGGCTTTCTGAGCAAGCAAGGCATCAAAGTAGGGCTTTATTCCATGCACGAGGGGTGCCTTTAATTTCCATTTTGGATCTTTCTAAAAAAAAGCCTATTTCTACAATTAACTCTATGGAAAGAACAAAATTGTATAATGTGACTAGTAAAAATGCCGCGGCTTTACCCAGTTTTACAGCAAGGTAATAGGGTAGGTAGTAAATTTACCGAGGGACTAATTTGTTTGTGGAAGTGACTTTGTTTATTTTTTTTAGGTATCAGATGAAAGTGACATTGTTGAAATAATAATGATCATGCCTTATACAGGCCATGGGGTCAGAAATGTCTAACCAGCACGTTATGTCAAGAATGAGGACAGACATTATTACTCATAAAATAAGTAATTGTGCAGGAAGATAGGTTATGGCGATAAATTTAGATCTTTAGTCTCACTCGCACTAATTAATACAAATATTCTTAATTACTTGAATTATGTAAACCAGAGCTTTTAATTAATATTGTGAACAAAATCATTTGACTAATATAAAAGAATAATACTAGATAGGGAGACCATACTTACAGACGGTCCAATAATATACCCTGGACCTGGAGCACATGGCTAGGACATGGAGAAAAGTCCAGCAACAAGAATTGCATTATAGAATATGTTTATCACATAGATCAAAAATTCAATGATGGTAACCTAAAGCCCTGAAATTTCAAAAAAATGGAAAAGAAAGAAAAGAAGAAAAAAAAAGGCAAAAAGGACCCCAGCCATCATGTTCATATGAAAAAGCGAAGTTAGGACAAAAGCTATGGACAATTTTTTACTGTGTGGTTGAGCTATGTAGCTGAGCAGTGGGTCAATAGGCCCATCTATAGCCCCATCAACATATGTACCTTTGAAAAATATATTGGGCAATAGATATTGTTGTCCCAAGAAAAGGAGAGGTCCCCAAGCCAGCCTTTTCTGATTGATTGCCTCCAAATAGGGTCATGGGGTGTGTGACAGAGGACAGATAAGACTGTGGAGGTTGACACACAAACAATATTGCATAATGTAATGTGGATATAAATTATGGGGTTTGGTCATTCATTTTTGCTTCATGGGTAGTGCTGTTGATCTGGGAAATAATAATATGGGGGAGTTCAAGCACTTGGTGATTGTTAAGTTCAAGGAAGATGCGGTTGTGGATGAGATTCTGAAAGGGCTGGAGAATTTGGTTGCTGAGATTGATGTTGTTAAGTCCTTCGAATGGTAAGCGTTTCTTTATACTAATGTTCTTTTGTCATATATTTTATATTTAATATGTTATGTTGGGAGACTGTCACTTTAGCGAACATTTCTACGCATGATATAGTTAATTAGAAAACAATTTTAGACCCCAACAGGCATCCCATTTCCAATTGATACTCTCATACTAGATAAAACAATGTGTTTCAGGGGACAGGATCTGGAAAGCCAAGAGATGCTTCGGCAGGGATTTACCCATGTCTTCGTGATGACATTCGACAAGAAGGAAGATTATGCTGTGTTTCAGAGCCACCCTAAACATCAAGAATTTTCAGCAATATTTTCAGCAGTTATAGAAAAGCTTGTGCTGCTTGATTTTCCACCTACTCTTGTCAAGACACCACCCAAGGCAGCACCACCAGAGGCACCACCAGCATGATCTAGATGTGCTTCAAAATTGCAAATCTATGTGCTCCGTCAAAACAGAATATGATGTATGCTGTTGCTTGTGTGTTTTTTCCTTAATTAATGTTTGCTTACTGTTTAATTATGGGATAAGTCAATGAGTTTTAATGTAATTTTCAACTTGTGTGGAAATATATTATGGTCATTTTGCCTCTCATGAAGACATGAAAACATGAGGACATGAAGACATGAAGACATGTAGCTTAATTTCTGGGATTTGGTTTCAATCCACTTCACTAATATAAATATGGCAAAAGGTGTTAGACATATGTACTTTTTGACTTCCAGTCGTGGATGGTTCAAGCAATAGAACAACTACTTGCTATGATCAAAATTCAAAGGCCCATGTTAACAATTTTGTCTGCCACTATATCTTGTCCAGAGAGAGAGAGAGAGAGAGCGAGAGATTCAAATTTTGAAAGAGGAAAAAGAAAACAAATGAAGAAAACATTAGCAAAAATAAATTTCCTGCTGAAAGCTCATCAAGGTGCCATTTTGTTTTGGGGAACTAGTATAAGTTTTACGGTTCATGCCCTCGTCGCATACAAGATCTTAAGGTAAACTCCAAATACGTACAACAATTATCCGCAAACCATAAGTTATGGCTCATATTCATTTGTGAGCCATAATTTACGATGACAAAACATATAGCTGTGATGATCCATCAGAATCATATAACTTTACCAACAGTAAGGATAGAAAGGAGGAGATCAAGCAGGATCTCAAGGGTGGAGAAAAGTCATATTCCCTTGGGCCACTGGAAAGAAAAGGTGAAGTGCAAAAGGAAAATACATATCCCTGTTAAGATGCCAAAAGTCCACAAAAGCCATCAAGAGATTAAAAAAAACACACTAATAGTCCTCAGCAGATTAAAAGTTGATTCTCTGTTATCTTGTTCTTCTCTGTTTCCTTTTAATTCTAGTGGGAAACAAAATAACTCCAATAATGCAGTTTTTTTGAAAATGCAGACAATCAAGAAACTCTGCATCCTACATCCTTTCCTTCTGCTACTCAATTTCTGGTTAGCAATTTCAATTCCTCAAGATGCTTCAACAAGGATTTATGAAAAATTCAAGATTCAAACACCCTTTTCAAATCCAAATTCAACTGCATTATCCCTTTTAAATCGAACAGTCATCTGCAAATCTCAGAAACTATACCATAGTAATAGAACCTCTAACAGCCTCTTCCCAGTCTCCTATACTAACTACAAATGTAAAAGTCTGATCATCTCCAACCCTTCTTCTTCTTCTTCTTCACTCCACCATGTCTTCTCCTTAAACCCCTCCAACTCACTTTTACTCTACAACTGCTCAAACAAAACACCCTCATCGTCACCACTGTTTCAAAACTTCACCTGCTTACATGCATGTGGACTTGCATCCTCTTCTTGCTTGCTAGTTGATGATGTCACAAAGCTTGACATGGGATTTCATCCAAGAGATTTGAATTGCTCATGTTACAGCAGGGTGCATAGAAGATCTTTAGATGGGAGCTATGAAGCACATAAGTTGAGAACAAGAGTTTCTTTTGACATCCCTGACCACATTCCCAATATCTGCGATGAGTGTCAAAAGCCTAATGGCAATTGTACTGCTGGGTTGAAGTGCATATGCCACCCTAAAGAGTGCAGTAAGTTTCCCTATTTCATAACCTCTGAATATGTTTATATATAAATTATATATGAGATCTATCAATTATTTCAAAAATAGTAAGACTTGGTGTTTCCAATGGGTTTTGCAGAAAACAAAGTCATATCTAGGGCTGGATCCATCAATGCTTTGGGTAACATCCTGGTCTCTTTGCTTTCTCTTGTAGCACTAATGGTTTTGGCAGACAATCCTTGATGCAAGGAAATTAAGACATAATATATTGGTCTTGTTTTTCTTTTATTTGTAGCTGTTCAAAGGATCTTATTACTTTTAGATTTTTCTTGTGACAGCATTATGTATTATAGAGAAACATGCTATCAATTGTAATTCAACAGAAATTGAGAATAAAATGAATCTTAAAGAAAATTACAGTCTTTATGATTTTCTGTAAGATACAATCTGTTTCACATGAACCTAATCAAGATCAAGGATAGCGCTATACTAAAAATACTTGAAATGACAGAAAATAAGAGAAAATAAAATTATATTCAAAACTCAATAGCCTAATCCTGGAAATGCGAAATGTGACCTTTGCGAAAAACTACAAGGACGCAATCAGATGGAGATGATACACACGCTACTGAAGTTTAATCAGTTACTTTCCAAGAACAAAACCAAGTCTCATCTCTCCCTTAATTTTCTTACTAGTGGCAATACAGGAAACAGAAATTTAGCCGCAAAATCTTTAGTACTTGTAATCCTTCACATGAAGACTCTCCGAAGCACCATCTCCCAATGCAGCATCCCCTTTGTAGGTACCCAAAGTAGCTTCTGAATTAGCTTTGCACCTACCAAGGAAGGCAACTCGTGCCTTCTCCACATTTTCATCCTTTCCAGCCCATGATTTCAGAGTGCTTTGCTGCAGAGCCCGCCCAAAAGAGAACGAAAGTGACCAGGGTTTCTTGGTATTTAGCTTATTCATAGCATTCAAGTTGAGGGTAGCTTCCTCCTCACTCTGCCCACCAGAAAGAAACACCACAGCAGGAACAGCTGGAGGAACCGTTCGCTGCAATGCCCTTACGGTATGATAAGCCACCACCTCAGGTGAAACCTTCTTGGCATCTGAACCAGGGGTAACCATGTTTGGCTTCAAAAGAGTACCCTCGAGAATGGCATGGTGTTCATTCAGCGCTTTGTAGCAAGCAGCGAGGACACGCTCGGTCACATCTGCGCACTGGTCAATATCATGAGATCCATCAACCGGTATCTCTGGCTCAACAATTGGTACCAAGCCATTCTCCTGGCAAATGACAGCATAGCGAGCCAAGCCATTGGCATTCTCATGTATAGCAAGTTGAGATGGCTCATTTGGGCCAATCTTGACCACAGCACGCCACTTAGCGAATTGGGCTCCAGCTTCATAGTACTGCTGGCAGCGCTGGGCAAGACCATCAAGACCCTGAGTTGTGGTCTCACCATTAGTTCCAGCAAGCTCAACAGTGCCCTTGTCCACTTTGATCCCAGGGAGGACCCCTCCTTCCTTGAGGACATCAACAAAGGGTTTATCACCAACTGTTTTCTGGTAAAGGGTTTCCTCAAACAGGATTACACCACTGAGATATTGAAGTGTACCCGGGGCGCAAAAGAGGAGCTCACGCAGGGCTCGCCTATTGGACTCATTGTTCTCGACATTTATACTTGATAGACGCTTGCCGATGTTTCCAGTTGATTCATCTGCGGCTAGGATTCCCTTCCCGGGGGTACCAATGTAGGCAGCATTGGCTACAAGTTCATCTGTAATACATGAATAATGTTATTTAGGGTCTCCCTAAATAAGCTATGGTATTAAAAGCAAGAGCATTTGAATCGGCGTCTCATATGCTACTTGACATGAAGCCACTAATTCTAAAAAAGAACAGACAAATACCGATCTCCACATCTTGAGGAATATATGAATGCCAAATTATTAAACAAAAGCACAAAACAAATCAAACCAAACACAGTATGCAAATGCATCTAAGAATAAAAATAATATATCTATCAAAAGACTCAAATCAAAGTTTTAGCAAATGCATCTTCTTTATGTTCTTTAATTTGTTTGGGCCTAATATTTGTGGGCTTAAGTTGCTTATCAAGTTTAGTTTAATTAATGGCCTTGGGCTTGATTTTGTTTTGTCTTATCAAGAGCCCATTTGAAGTTTCAGTTTCAATAAGAAATGTGAATTAATACTACTTTAAACTAATATTACGTTGTGTGCAAGAATTTGGATTGTTGATACAAGCGATATTCTAAATTAAGTACTCTAACTTGAGTGCAAGGAGGCAGCTCACTGTTCTAGCCAATTGACCTCACTCACTTCTACTAAAATTTGGATTGAAGTAAGTTAGGAAGTGAATCTTATTTTGCTTAGGATTATAGATATAAAGGATATGCAAGGAGGTCGTAGCTCAAGTGGTCCTTGAACCTGAAATCCTAAGTTTGAATCTTCCATCCTCTAATATCACTTGTATTATAAAATTTATAATAAATGAAAAAGATGCAAAGGATATTGTTTGTTTTAAAAAGATTCTTTTACAACCTAGACGCAAAGTAATATATAAAGGGGGCCTTGTACAATATTTCGACTCACGCCCTTCACAACAATTTTACATATTTTTATAAGCTTTTCAGATATCGATTCTTAGACTCAAATCTGAGTATATAATCGAAGATTTTCAAGCCCCCAGGGTTATTCTCTCATAATTTATATATATATATATATATATATATATATATACACTTCTCTTACAATTTGAGATGCAATACCTACCACCTAATGCTCTGTAAGTGTTGCACTTTATAAAGTCTTTGTAGCCTTTTTCTTGTGTGTATTGTTTGTTGGTGTAGGTCGCTCAATACGGGCTATGATGTGTAAGTCTCACATAAGATAATAATCTACAATTAAAATATAGGTAATTAACTTCTAATTGCACTAACACCTTTTAAGTTATAACCCCACACCTAGAGGTTTATTGGGCCTAATCCCAATGTATTGTGTATTGGATCTAGCTAGTTAAGGTAAGGACAATATTTCTACATGATTTGGAGGATAACTTGTTGAAATTTCTTAATGATTTTTTTAATTCACATTTGTGTGCAACGACTCTTCAATTGGTGATTGACAATTTTTTTTTTTTCATACACAGATTGATCATTGGTGGTAGCAATGGAGCTTATGGGGGCGTAAGAAGCTTATTTTTGTATTGAATATACTAATATTTAACTTTCTTAAATAAAAATATTAAAACTTTTAAGAATTTGATGGTGATTGCCATTGCATGCTAATTGATGATGAATTTTAGTTATAAAAAATTTGTTTTATGACATTAAGTTATGTCAAATTATTGTTGTTTTATGAATTTTAGCTAATGAGATGCTTTCATTTTCTGATTATGCTGGAATCAGTTTTGAAGAGGCTATTATAGGCTTAAAATTATGTGAGAATCACTTTTTGATGATGCTGGAATTAGTATCAACAATAGTTTTAACAAAAAGTTTACCAAACGTCAAACTGCTTTCTCTCACAGCTGATTTTTCTCATAGCAAATCTGATAGCAATTATTTTCACAACACAACAATGTCAAACTGGCCCTTAGTATTTTCGTATTAGATTATGTGCCCAAATTTAAGTTTCGCACGGCCCTCAAAATGTCAAGGTCAGCTCCGATTTGGTCCCATATAAGATAATAGAATAATAATCTACAGTTCAAATATAGATCCACTCCTAATTGCGATTTAAATTAAAATCCCACATATAGAGGTCCATTGGGCGTAATCCCACCTAAGGTATTGATGCATAATTTGAACATATAATAGACTCCTATTGCCCCGTTAGTACAACATTCTCACGAGCTGGGATACTCTTTGTCAACCTGAGTACAACTTATTTGGAGTTGGTGAGCCTCCACTAATCAAGAATTTCAAGTAGTAGAAAATAGAGTTGTGATGTGATAGAAGTTGTAGAAAATCAAATTAAGATGAACGGAGACAAGATGAATCAGTTAGTGTAGGGTCAAATTCGGTTGGCAATTAGGTTTTGATTAAGAAATGGTAGGTAAAGACTAAAAGGAGAAAAGCTTCAACAGAGAAATAAGAGCAAGATTGAAAAAGAAAAAAAAATGGTCAAGATGACGCAGGGAAATGAAATATTTGGTAAACGCATAATGGTATTCGACATGCGCAATAGCTGGAACTCATTATTGAGTCTGCTAATCATATATAGTGATGATATCTTTCAATTTCTTGGTGAGTTGGTTGTTTAAGATGTTGAATTTATTTTGCTTATTGTCTTGCAGTGGTTGTATTTATTATTTGTATCTTATTTTATTGTTTGCAAGAACCCCTTGTGGGACTACGTTCTTTATTTTCTCTGTATCTTGTATTGCACTTTGATTATGAAATTGCTATGAAACGAATGTACGTTTGGAGTTTCCAATTGATGTGGTAGTGTTTTATTCGTTACTTTGAGTTCTATTCAAAGCTTTATCTATCTTTAATAATTAAATATAGTCATGTTATTCACGATATGTCACTTTAATAACAAAAAATTGAGAATGAAAAAATATCTTCTAAAGTATATGATTGCGGTAGGAAATGTGATCCATCCAACATTAATATATGAAGACGGAATGGACCTACATTTCAGCAGTGAGTTATTAATTTGGTCACAAGATCAAACACTATCGACTAGTGGATTTAAAATGGTATTGACGCTAGGTTTAATCTTCCTGAATATTTTTATTTATTTTGCTCAAATAAAGGGTGTGGGTGGTTAAAGGTGGACTCAGATGTGTTTATTTGCATTTAAAATCTTTTTATATGCACCTAAATAATAATAGGGAGTTTCACTAAAACACCCAAAATGGGGGTTGAAATTATAAAAAAACCCAACACCCAAAACACTTTATAAACACACTCAAAACTCATCATTACACACACTCAAAACCCATTTATAAACACACCCAAAAAATATACAATTGTTGATTTTAGGGTTGATTTTGGGTGTGTTTCTATGTTCAAATAGTGCTTTGGTTTTTTTATAAATACATGTCTAGGATTGGGTTTATTTATAAATTTGTAATAATAATAATAAGTCTATCACAAGGCAAACGGCGCATGCAAGAAATCCAAAATAATGTGGTCCTCAAAGAAGAGAAAACTTTGTCTTTCATACAACACCCAAGAAAAGTTTGCTCCTGGATCATATTTGTAGTCAGGTCGTGAGGCAGAATCACAGTTCAAAACAAATATATGTTTAAGTTACAATATTTGAAAATTGACTTTAGTTTTTATAGTGATCCTATGTGGAGAGGCCATGTAGAATGATGTAAAGTCCCACCTCAGAAACTCGACAAAATTAAATGCAATACATAATTCGTGATTCCACTACTTGGTGGGCTGCTAGTTTGTCATTCTGAAATATAAAACTTTCAAATCTTCATCACGATCAAACTCCATGAAAATCAGAGTTTTTAGAATATTTTCAACAATAACTGCAGTGAATTATTCAGTCGTAGATATGTAGCTAGGGATGACAATTGAGTTGCTTAATTTGTGTTTTTTTCCTCTTTGTTTTTTTTGGTTGCATTTGTTGTCTTGTGTTTAGGTGACATGATTTTTTGTTCTTTGATAATGTTCAGGTCAAAAAGCATGAAATAACTAATATGTTTAACATGAAATTAACTAATAGAAAATTCGCTTGATCTAAACGCTAGAAAATCGAGAAAAGAAATCCCTCAAATAATTTTGTAAAGAATCATATTATATATCTTTTAGCATTTTGGTCTTTCTTCTTTGTGCAATATTGCCGGCCATAAAGGAAGCAGTATGGGAAGTTAGTAACTTTTCCACATGTAAAAAGCAGTCATCTCTTGTCTCGTTACAATTTGAAGAACTCATAATGCTCATCTAAAAGTCAAAATGATTGAAGTCTATTTTGGCAAAAGCCAAAATATTAATTTGATAAATAATAAAAATAAAATGGCCCAATAATAATATAATGTATCGGACGAAGGAGATGAAAAAGTTTTGATTACGATATAAAAGTTGCAAGGACCCATATCGTAACAACCCTTCTTATATCCTTAATGTTTTGATGCAAATCAGCAAATGGATTTTCTAACAATGAAAAGTATTTCTTCTTTTATCACAAAATGCATGGCTTGTATTAGTAGTTGATCCACTCACACTTATATATATATATATATATATATATATATTGTAGAGTACCTTATATTGTATTTTATTTTTGTCTAGTTTCCAATATGTGATTTTATATTTTTCAACGCACCTTTTGAAGTGGGACTACCACATAGTGGGCTACACATGCAGCCAATTCCACCTCGTTTTATTTATTTATTATTTTTATTATTATTAAAGGCAGAGTATAGTTTGAGCCCAGCATGTGAATACAACTTACATGAGTGACTTAAGATGGTTTTTGAACTTAAGCTGGTAAATAAATTAAAGACTAACGACATTTCACACCATCGAGGTTTAGCGTGCGTATCAAAATGGGCCATGAGGTTTCAATTTCATCAATTTGATACCCAACATTTCAAAATCTAACCAATTTACACCAACTGTTAAATTGACCTTCTGGTCAAACGTTAAATGCTGACGTGGCAAATGCGAGACCCACCACATATCTTGACAACCTAATCCAAATTGTCCACATGAATAGCATTTCTAGAAAGAAAGAAAAAATATATTTCGCACTCAGACCTTGGCACCTATTCCAAGGTTGTCGTTCCAATACGCAAGGATTGGACAATGAAATTGAAAAAAAAAAAATTTATTCAGAAACTCAAGCTTTCTGAGTTTTCAACTAAGATTGAGAGAGGGTTTCTTCCAAATCTTGAAATCAAGTTCATCCATTGCAAAAACCTCGATGATGTGAAATGTCGTTAGTGTATAAATTAACTACTGCTTCATCTAGTGATGATTTTATTCACTAAGGCATCTCTAATTGAGAGGGCCAAATGTCAAATTTTGGCAATATAGTCTAGATGGAGCCCCCAACACATGTATAGGGTCAGGCAAAATATCAATCCAGTCAATATCTTGGGTGGAATAGCGGTTCACATTTTGTTTGGACTGAAATTTGGTGGAGCCCACTCACACAACCCATTTTCCCATATGCAAAGTTAGTTTTGTGGACCCATTAGAGTTAAATTATTTTTAAACAATTTAATAAGGCTATGGATTCAAAATTTGAGTCCGGATGATTGGGGAAAAAACAATTTGAGTCCGGGCAATACATGAATCGTTGTATTTTGAAAGGTGAAAATTTGAATTTAGCCCCTTTGGCATTGGAAATAGGCTAACTACGAAAGAGATTTCAAATTCCAACTCTTATTGATGATACCATAATAGTTAAAGTAGTTTTGTAGAGGGCCCAACATTAACCTTAATGTAGTTGCAAATTTATGTTGGATTGGAGATGCTCTCCATGAATACAATTGCAACTTTATCATGAGAGTCTACAAACTTTGTCAGAGCATGATTGGCTTTAGAATTCAATGAAAAGCAGCTCCCATCCAACAACTGCCCTCACCAATATGCTACACACACACGTACACGCGTACACACCCTGCTGCCATCTAGCTAGGCAGCCTGCCTGGCTGGTTATTACTTTATTGGGTTCTTTCCTGATGTATTAGATTATAGTATTGTACTTGTATGCTACACTTCACATATTTTCTTTCTGGGAAAAAATTACATTTGAAGTTCAATATAGCTGCGGTACGTTAATCTGGTTCGTTGAAATTAACGGCTGACATTATTGTCACGCGTTCACACGTGACTGATGCTATCACAATTAATCGCCTCTAGTCTGCACTGTAGGTCATCTTCCCCAAGAGGGACTCTTTTTATGGTGCTTTGGGAAGACATACAATCACTGGATTCTGCTTGTGGTCCAAAAAATTGTTTTAAGACAGAGGGGGACCATGCATTTGTACTGGCTCTCAGTCTAAGATGAAGGGACGCCATCCGAATATTTTGTTTGCATACGTTTGGAGTTTTGGTCTTATCTTAGTAACCATTTCAAAATCGACTTGCCCATTCTGTTTTGGTATTTCTTTTGGTCTAAATTTATATGAGGTGTGTTGCTGTGCTTTCGTCACGCGATTTGAATTCAAAACCTCATCTAATAAAGTGGAGACAACTATCATCTAGTAAATTTTAATTTATAATCTCCGAGAATTTCACTAAAACATCCAAAATGGGGACTGAAATTATAAAAAAATCTAACACCCAAAACACTTTATAAACACACTCAAAACCCATCATTAAACACACTCAAAACCCATTTATAAACACACCCAACAAATATACAATTGTTGACTTTGGGGTTGATTTTGGGTGTGTTTCTATGTTTAAATAGTGTTTGGGTTTTTTTATAAATACATGTCTAGGATTGGGTTTATTTATAAATTTGTATAATTGTAATTGAAATGTTGTTGTCAATCATTGAGAAACAAAAACAAGATTTGTCGTTGAACTGTTTTGTTTGCCCAACTCAAATGGTTACTTCACAATCACAATCTACATCAAGCCAAGCCTGATGGAGATCGATCTTTTTCTTGGCTTGTGAATAAGCGTGTGAATGAGCTGGCTTCTTGAACTAAAGGATCAGTAGGATTTTCCCTGACAAGTCAAGGCCAAGGTGGGGAAAGTATGATATGATAAATTACAAATTAAATACTAGAAAAAAGGATCCTGTTTTTGTTTTCATTCATTAAATCTCGAAAAAGAAGATAATTAATTGTCTTTAATTTTGTTTTTTTTTAAAAACACAAGCGATAGTTTAACCTACAAGGAAACGAGGGTTTCTCACATATACACTACCAATATGCTATGGGGGTTCTCTGTAAGTAAATGCCCTTTTACATTGGGTTAGATTCTCGTTGGCAATTTTTCTTCTAAATGAACAATAAAAGCAAGCAGTAATCTTGCATAATCCTACAAAACAATATATTCCATCAATCAACTTTTTTCCGTGTGTTTATAAGATGTACTTGTCAAATGAGGCTGAACATAATTGGGGGGATTCTCAACTTTATTTGATTTGATCCTTACAAACCTAAAAAGCAATGATAATTGATACTCAAAATTCCCACTTCCCCATTCATCAAATTTTAATTGATATCTCTTAGTATCTTTTTCATTTGCCTTTCCAATTATTTGAACCTTCTACAGTCACCCCTCTATTCTAACTCATTTGCTAACACTCTGCAATACCATGTTCTAATTTGCAAAATTGATCACCAGTATTATTGAGAGAGAGAGAGAGAGAGAGAGAGAGAGAGAGATCAAAACATGTCAAATTTATCTATCTACAATCATATTCCTGAGACAATGATCAAAATGAATTAGTATCTATTCCTCTTTTGAAAGGAAGTTTAGAAAAATAATAATAACAAGCATAAATTTCAAGAATTAACCCCAAAAAAATTAAAAATGTAATGACCAAATTTCATTATGAGCTCTTACAGGCATAGATCAACAAGGAGAATTCAACTCTGTCCTGCTCCTTCTGAACCAACTTCTCTTCCAACCACAGCCTGCTATCCATTCCACTTCTTGTTCTGAACATGAACACTGCATACCTTGATGAAGGATTGAAGAACCAGTTATGAACATCCCACATCAGATCAACCAGCAACCCATCTAAAAAAATTGTCTGATTGCCTCTAAAATTCCACTGCAGCCTCTTTACGCGAATGACCGTCTTTTTGTCGATGGAAACTGATAAAACCGGATGCTTTAAGCCATCATTTTCTCCACTGCATCTGATCAAAATGTCATGTACAATGCCTGTGTCACTGAATTGAGCCTTGGTGGAATAAATGTCATTTCCCGAACAATGCTCTTGCCTTGAAACCAAAGAAACCTTAGCAACAGGGGTTGCACTAGTCTTGAACTTCTTGGCTAAAGCTTCTTCAGCCATGTCACCTAGAATTAGGCCTATTTCTGAGTCAACCATGACCAGGATATAAAAACCATCAACTGGCTCAGGACCACTAGTATCATACTTAGCTTTGGACAGATCCCAAAAGATTTCCATCTTCGAATTATCCGATTCGAGGACTTTGGTGCCTTTCTTCTTCCGGAACAGACGCGAATTCATGTTCAATTTGAAGCATGCTGTTGGATCATCACCAAACTTAATGGTTAAGCCCTGTGCATAGTGGTTTTTGCACCAGGAGACTGTGACCAAGAACTGCTTTTTAGTGGAGAGAGTGATTTTGTAGACACATGAGACTGCATTTGGACAGAAGGAGTTAACTTCGGAGAAACACAAGCAGTGTTTGCATAGCTAGAACATGAAGGATGAGAAACATTTACTGCATTTTCACTAAAACAAGAAATTTTGTCTCTCATTGTGTAAATAATATAATTCTCTGAGCGAAAACAAAAACCTGCAGCAGGCACTACTTTTGAGAGAGAGAGAGAGAGAGAGAGAGATCTACAGGGTTTGGAGAAATGGATCTGTCTGGTTTTTGGCTTGGCTTCTTCTAAGAAATGAATGAGATTATGAAGGCTTTTGAACTGTTTTTGTTTCTTCAGATTTTCTAAATGGAAAAGTTTAAGAGGTTGAGAATGAGAAGGCAAGAAAGGATATGAATTTAATATGATTCTCTCTTCATTGTCTCACCTTAAAATCTGTATCTTATGAGAAGGGAAAGAGGTGGAAGATTGAGACAGAAACCTTCATGCTTGCCTTCTTTATCTCCTTTGCCAGTTCATATCAGACATAAAAAATTAAAAAGAAAAATAAAGGAAAGGCTAACAAAGGAGTTGGACCTGGTCTGTTACCATCACTATTTGTGACAGGATCATGGCTGCTTTTAATTCCTTACATTAGGTTTTGTGAATTAAATATAACATGTGAGAAAAGGGCAAAAGACAGGTAACTAGATTTTCATGTTGCCTAATTCATAGATTAATTACCTTTTCAATTTTCTCACAACCAATTATGACTATGTAGACAACTACACATCTTATCTTACCTTTGAGATATTTGGAAAAGCATCAACAATTAAAATTAAATATTTCAATGAAAAAATTTCTAGTAAGAAAACATTTTTGTGTGAACAATATGTATAGAAAGAAAGTCAAGTGGTAATGACAGTCAATTTTGGAGATCAGAAATTGATCACATCTTGGTGGATATATATGTGAGGGAATATATTTCCATTTAGTTTTTCTTTCTTATTTTTTTTTTATCCTTTTTTTTTTTTTTTTTTTTTTTTTTTTTTTTATAAAATGATGATGGGCATGCAGTGGGATGATTATGATAGTGAATGTTGACCCACAAAATAAATTTAGTCTGGAGACCCACCAACTCCTGCTCCCAACACACCTATAATTAAAAGTTTCCTTTATTATTTTATTTCTATTTCTTATTGACTAAAATTTTAAAACTAAACAAAGGAAAGGGTGACTTTTTAAATAAGCTCAGCTTATGCAGAATATCATGTGGTTGCTGGTTGGGAAGAGGGAATAGGAACATTAAGTTAATAGGAAGCCCATCACATGAACCCCTATTTATGGGTGAGCAGTTCCTCCTATGTCTCTTCCTAAGTACTGGTATGGATTATTAAATGGCATGAAAGGTTTTAGACCAAAAGAACTAGCTATGATTAGACTTTGAAACTAAGGCTTATAAATGAAAGGAAAAGCAAAAAGAGATAGGTCATTTTGATTAGAACATGCAGGTATTAATTATGCAGCTATTAGGTTATGATGTTATCATCATTGTGTTAATTACACCTATTAATATCATAGAGGAATCTTGCCTATCAATCTAACCCAATTTTTTTTTTCTTTTTTTGAGAAATTATGGGATTGCATTCATAATTCAACCAAAAAAGGCACTAGGCACAAAAGATATTACAATAACGGAGTGATCTGACATCAAAATTAAGACAATCTGGACTCCTCCACTAATGATCAAGCAGTATCGAAGAAAATCTGGCATATGCATCTCAACTAAGATTGCAAACTCAAAACATAAAAAAGAGATAAAGCTTAAAAAAAACAAAGCCATAACAATACAAATAAAACTCTCACAAAATAGAGGTGGAAAGCTCTCACAAAACAGAGGTGAAAAACTCTCACAAAATGATAGGTTGAAAACTACACAAAACTCAAAGAGTCTCTATGACTTATTTCAAACATGAAGAAACTGCAAAAAAAAGATGGCGATAGAGATCTGACACCGAAATGCAGATGGAGATTTGATGACGAGACACATCCGCCTGTGATGAGTGAAGGAAAATCATAGCAAAAGAAAGACAAATATAGGGGAACCTTTTGTCTCTGAAAACATGGGACGAAGAGAGAAGGGAGAAAGGGAGAAGGGGAGAGGGGAGGAAGAACATTGGCTTCCTCCCCCCTCAAAGTGAAAAAGGCTCTGCAATGTTTTTTGGGAGAGAGGGAAAGCTAGGGTTTTCAATTGGAATCTAAACCATTCTTCGAATGAATGTCTTTGTTTCAAGTTAGGAAAATGGTTGAATTTGCCAGTGGTGTGAAACAATGACGTTGAATATTGAGAACGAAAATATGGATATTGTCATCTTTGATATTAATATGTCATTACGTTATGCATATTAACAATCTAATAACACAACATATTATGTAGCATACTCTATAAATTTACAATGCATATGAATAATATTTTTTGGTACAAGCGTGACACACTTTTGAGGTATGGACCCTAGATGCTATGGTCTTAGGGCATGTTCATCATTGCTAAGCGCACATGCTTGAATTGAATATTGTGAAAAGAAGACTGAATCTGCTAGCTGATCATGAAAATTTGGAATGTCATGCGAATTTCCTGCATTCAACTTTGTACTTGATAGCCATTAACGTCCCCTCACTATGTACCAATTTTCTTGTAACAAGCTTACTTTCTAGTTTCTGTTTGTAAAATTATTGTCAAACACATCAAATACATTCTTTTGGCATATTTACTTTTCTTTCCTAGCAATGTTCAATACCATGGCCCATATTTCATCATTCAGGTTGTGCTATGCATTAGAAGATGTTCTAAGTTGGATTCTCTCCTCTCCAAAAAAAAAAAAAAAAAAAAAAAAAAAAAAAAAAAAAAAGTTTTAATTCCTTATTGTATTATTTCCAGCAAATAGTCTTGAATCATGAACTTGGAATTGCAACTTTGGAAGGAAAATCATGCCGACCAAATTGGTGGGCAGATATTAATTGCATAAATTTATATAGAGTGGATCTGATATTCATTAACTAATCACGCATCAATAAGATTATGAACAACTTGACTTGGTTTAGTTTCCCAAAAGACTAACTAGAAGTGCAGACTTACTCAAAAGCCTTTATATATATATATATATATATATATATATAAAGCAAAAGGCAGAAAATGGGTGAAACATTCAAAATATCATAAAATACCCTTAGTTAATTCAAACATTAAGAATTGAAATTATTAATTAAATGAGGATAATATGGTAAATTCACACTTTTTCATATTAAAAAAAATTAAAATTAAAAGAAAAATAAGACAATGAAACCTATTTTTATGGAACATAACTACCATTATCTTTTTTAATTCTAAAATAAATTTAATTTTTTTTTAAAAAAAGCCTCTTGCAAGCGCAGAGAAGGTGTGTAAATAGGCTAGTATATATAAAGCAAAAGACAGAGAATGTGTGAAACATTCAAAATGCCAAAAAAAAACACTTGGTTAATGCAAACATTAAGAATTGAAATTATTAATTAAATTAGGATAATATGGTAAATTCACACTTTTTTATATTTAAATTAAATTAAATTAAAAGAAAAATCAGATAATGAATTCTATTTTTATGGAACACAACTACATATATCTTTTTTAATTCTTTTTTTTTTTTTTTTTTTTTTTTTTTTTAAAAAGTCTCGCAGGTGCAGGAAGCGCGTGTGTAGAGGCTGATAGAGAGAAAAAAAAAAGTAAAAAAAGACAGAAAGAAACTAGTTAAGCTAATGCTGTGCATATTCAGAAGGCAGCCGTCATGTATGTACGTAATATTAGGCAATTAACTGAGCGTATATTATGGTGGAGAATTCTGACCAAGAAAAAGTATTAGGGTAGTGAGCTTTGCAGTTGTAAATTTCTCAAAACAGACTTTAGATTTACTAATTATATATGTATGTAGACCCTAGGTAGCCTAACCTTTCGGCTAGGAGGATAAATCCCAAGAATGGACAACAAACGATAAAGTCCTTCCTTTCAGATTTGGTTAATGAGAACTTTTTTTTCAGATAAAAAAAAACATTAAAAAGAAATTAAATTTATATAAATAAATAAAAAGCAATTAAAAAAACTTAAACACATGGAACTTTTAAATCCAAGATAGATTGAAGATTTTTTATTTTATAGAATTAGTGATAGTTATTATTGATGGACAAATAAAAGTATAAATGATCAAATATTTTATGAAAAAAGATTGGCTCCTCCTCAAAACAAATGGAGTTTTGACACTTGTCAATTTTTTTAAATTTGTTTCTTTTGAATTCCTTGAATCTCTTTTTTCTTTTGAAATTTAGTAAGCGTCAAAATCTCATTTATTGTGAGGATGCGTTCCTCTACAATTTTAAGAAAACAAGCCTTATGCATGCATGATCCTTGTGAGTTGAGGTCAAGCTTAAAGAATACCTACTCTAACTAAGTATAGAGACACACCTATCATTAGACCCGATATAATTTTGAATATGAAAAAAATTAAACAAAGTATTCTCACGGTTTTAATCTATTTCAAATCTCATCTTAAATTCTCCCCTCCAAACACACATTAAAAGACTAGAAAATATGCCGCTTTTCAAGTTCAAATATCAACACCACCTAAATCAGCGGCCGCCAACGTGTGAGCACCGCTGGGTGAAAAAGGAAAACAGATGTCTCAGAAAAAGAAAAAAAGGATGTCTCTCTTTCGGCCTCACATAACAAAAACTTTTACCAGTCTCTCCATGATGAACCATTGAAAATCATTTTGGAATATTATTTCTCATGACATATGCCTAAAGCCGCAGATATAGTTTTGCATGTGGACCACTTGTTTTGTTCAAAGGAATTAGGCAATGGAGGAAAATTGGAACAAGACCAACTTGGCCAGGTCATGGATTAACCATCGCTTAAAACTTCAACCCTAAATTATTCTTGTTTGGAAATTGGAAGGCAACTTGCAATTTGTTGGAGTGTCAGCTTCAACTGGTTTGAATATTATAGGGAAGTTGCAGGCCTAGGATGCTATTGAGGAATGAGAGGCAATTAAAAAATTAAGGAATTTTTTTAAATAATTTATAAATAAATAAATAAATAAAGGTTGGGACTTGTTTGCCCATTTGTTTATTTGTTTTCAGAATTCTGCTGATCTCAACGAACGTTGTCGTTTTGCTGGGTTTATGATCATGGCAAATAAATTTTTAAAACGCATGTGTAAGTGATGAGAAAGGGACAAAAGACAGAGAGACAGATAGCTCTGCACCGACAACATGGCAGTTTAGAGATCGTCACTTCAATTTCATATTGATGGTTGTTCAAGAGAGCTAATCGTGTTTCCAACTTCATCAAGAGACACACGGCTTTGCAAATTTATTCAGTTTTATAGATTCGTACATGATCATTGAATGTGCTTCACTTTCGAACAAATTTCTGTGATCTCCATTATGTTGGTGAGTTATGTGAGATTGTGTTTGTTATATTATTGAGAAATGGATTATTTCCAACTGCGAGTCTCTTTTAATAAATTGAAGATAATTATCATTAGACTAATAGCTCGTTACGTCAAAAACATTCAACGTACACCCTAAAAAAATTCCATGAGTTAGTGCAAATGGCTTAGAATTTATGTTTTATTCAGTCGGAAAAATAAGATAAAATTTGAATTTTTGTTATTGGTATGGAGATGAAGTGCACTATCCTTGAAGGCATGATAATGGTTGTTAGGCATACCAACAGTATGTCTAAGGTCAATGCCAAAACAGCTTCTTGAAATATAGCTTTGTATGCAATACTACCCAATTTTCTATGATCAAGATGTGACATATATATATATATATATATATATGCAGTCCCCTTCTATCGATGGATTCTTCAAATAATTTTATTTGAGGGATAACCTTTAGGGTATTCTATGAATTTTTTTCTAACGATCCAAACTATCTATTTTTTAAGTCTACATTCATAGATCATCCTTGCAAAAAATTAGATAAATCGGAAACCGTTTCGTTGTCCAATTATATCATACAAAATCAATGAATAAGGTGCTTCAAGAACATACTAAAATTTCAATAATTTAATTGAGTAGTCAAATGATATCGAATTCAAGTGATTTTTTGTAAAAATGATCTTTGAATGAGTATCTACAAAATAGACAGTTTGGATTAGTGAAATATAATATGAAGTGAGTCATACAAGGGTGTCTTTCAAATAAATTTATTTGAAAGATCCCTCAACTAAAGCTCCCTATAATACGGAGTGAAATATATATATATATATATATATATATATATATATATGTTTGTCGTGTTACTTGGAGTCAAGGGCAGGAACCTGCTCTATTAATCTGTACAACAAATGGACAGCACCAAATGTTTGATCTGGACGGCACAAATTAAGACCCCTCCGGATTGTGAACAAGACTGTTAGCCCTATAAAACAATTTGCTTGGTGGTTATGACAAGCCATTTGCTCCAAAAATAAAAAGAGTGGATGTAAACCCTTCTCATTCCCTTCTCAGTCTTCTTATATATATATATATATATAGAAATTCTCCAATGTGGATGTTCGGACGTTATTATCGTGTGGACGCTATGTATTTTTTACTATTTCTCTCTACTTTTTTTCATTTTTACAGTGACCTTTGTATGATAATAATGTCCGGATGAGATAATAACTTATATATATATATATATATATTAAACATTATAATAAAAATAATGGCAGTGTATCTGGTAAGTCAAAGATATTGCACGTAAGCAAGCACCCATTAAAGTCTGATGTGTTTGTGGCTTCTTGGAAGTTGTTGAAACTCCATCTTCTTGTAAACACTATAGATTAACACGTGAAAATGACACTTAAAATTCCCGTTCAATTCCTCCGAGCATATCAGAATAATAATATGTCAGAAAATATTGGCCACATTTGTCTGCACATAGGTCGGTATTAATTTTTTATTTCTATTTTGCAAATATAAAATGCAGATGGGTTGATGGACCAAACGTAATTATAGGGAGTATTTGTTGTAAGCCTTTCTATTCTTGGGGGAAGAAGCGTTTTTGGTTCAAATCTGTGCTGTCTGCAAAAAGGTTATAGATCTTAGACAAGATGTTAAATTCTGGCAAAAACAAATCTTTCATGTTCAGATGGTGCTAAGAAAGCTCTTATATATATATATATATATATATATATATTTATTTATTTATTTTAAGTGTATGTTTGGTGTTTAATGCACATTCCAATAAAAATAAAAATATAGAGAATTTGTTTTTATACAATTTAGAGAACAATTTTGCGCACCATGTATGTATATGTACGGGTCTTCCATAGGATGTATGACTTGCCTATGTCTATTTCAGTGTTATAGGCCCTTCGAGGTTTTGGCACAAGTGGGAAAAGGCTTATAAACTGAAGCTCCCTGGTTGTAGTGGAAACGCTATAATGAGGGGGGTGGGAGGGGTTTAATCCCACTATCCAATTCATTGTAGGCTAGCATTTCTCATCTCTCTGGTTATAGATATGCAATCATGCACACACGAACGCATACGAAAATTCAGTGTTCAGATTAAGCCTGAACGGATTGTGTAGATAAAGGGTGGACTCGTTGAAAAACGAGTCATGTTCGTGTTAACCCGTGGAATCCGTTCATGACCCGCTAAGAAATGTAGTTATTGTATTTTACTTTATTTTTAAGCTATTGCCTATGTCATTTGGACATTTTCTCTAAGTGTTTCTTATGTAGGATGTTTGGATAAAGAGCTTATTTTGTAAAATACATTTTATTTAAGTTTTTTGTTGTAAGGAAAAAATATACTGTAGTTAGAATTCTTAACGGGTCAAACATGGCCGTATCATGTTACCCGTTAATCTTGCGGGTCACGTTTGTGTTTTGATTTTTCTACACTTTAGCTTAACAAGTGTTGTTAATGTCAACACCCTAAAAAAGCAGGTTGCGTCAGCCAAGACCCGAAAACGAGAAAAACAACCCGTTTGCCAGGTCTTCTTGGCTGCTTCAAAGTTATTCCCTGTTTCAAATGTGTAAGGAGGAATTTATAGTAGAGGAGTAGCTTGAAGCTATGTTTGATCGCCGCATGGTTAAAATGAAGAGCTAATACTGCGGTGATTGAGGTCCTGGAAGATGATGCTTTCCAAACCTCCTAGCTAAATTTCCAAAAGTTCAATCCCTGAAGACAACCAATGCTTAGGAAGTAAGAATGTTAGCAAACAGATGGACAGAGTCAGCAACTTGTTAACACTAAAGCAACAGCTAAGCAGGAATTAGTTGGTAGTTTGGTGGCAATGAGAAAGTATTCTGGGGAACAAGGATTTGCCACAAGAATAAGTAAGAGTGTAGCATACCATCTACTGAACCTATGAAATAAAACCTAACAGTTGCTATATACATATACTACTAAAACATTGAATTATACGTTTCTAACATATAAAACCTGTATTGAAACCCAATCCAATTAATGTGCCTACATACCATGTAAAAGATTTTTGGATCACCTGAGTTTCTGATTTCTGAAAACAGAAACTGAAAAAGATCATCCACATCAACCCAAGCCAAAAACAAGTCAATCTAATTTGATACAAAAAATACGCCCAGAAAAAAAAAATGCTCGGACTCTGAAGCAACGCTTCTGTTTTGTGTTTAAAAGCGGCTCAACAGAGTTGCACTAGTATCCCACCACACTGTCTCCAACAAACTAAAATGACTATTGTTTCTCAACCAAATTTTGCTTTGCACGATTAGTCGATAACTTTACCTGCCTAATAAGCACACAGATAGGTCTTCTTCAAAGAGATCTCTCATTCTAAAATTTCTCACACAAATCAATTGTATGAAAAGGAGACAAAGATCATTTATCAAGTCAGAAGACTCAAAAATACCAAATTTATGTAATTGCATACCCACCAATATCTTTTAGCTCTATTTCTAGTTCCAAATTTGATCTAGCCAGTCAAATATTCTGACTCTATGGATTCCCAAAATATTTTTAAGGACTTTGGTTATTAAGGCTAGCTAACAAGTATCTAACAAACTTGTACACTAACCACTCATGTTAACTGAACCAAGATTTAATTTCACCTAGACTGAAATATCATAACAAATTTCAAAATTGTGGACATAATGTTGGTGCCTGTTTAGTAAAACAATTCAGATCTAGCTTTTAGCATTCCATAAGGATCCCTTCTAGTAATTTCTTTTCCCAAAAAGAAACTGTCCATTGTCATGCTTCTGATCTCATCTTTTATTCACTACTTCGATACAAATATCTAATACGACATGACTTCAAAGTTGAAGATTTCAGGAGATTCATGTAAAATTGAACTAACATGACATTACTACAAATTATTTAATGTGAAATTACATCATCTCACTCATGACTGTTAAATTGAACTAATCATGTAACAACGTAGAAGTATTTCATGAGATTCCAAAGATTGCTATTTAATTCAAAACAAACATGTTTCAGCAGTTAACATTAAAGACAAGCATTCTGACTTCCGAAAGAAACTTATCAGCAAATTCAAGAGCAAAGGAAGAACACTGGATCTCTGCTAGTATTCACTCCTAGATAGGACTGAGATAATTCACAAATCTACCTGTCACCAGAGTGGGGAGAAAAACATACAACGATCAGGTAAATCCCAATAACAACTAATAATTGCATCATACATCTATGCACATAAATCAGGTATCATTTCTATCTGATTTTTTTTTTCCTTTGGTTATACAACTGATGCTTGTTAGAATAAACCACAAATTTTTCCCTCAAACTTTAGTTTATGCTCAGCTTTTCCCTTAAATTCCTTGTTCACATTAGTGCCCAATTTTCAAACTTCTGAACAGAACTATTTGTAACAGATTTACTAACAACATTTCTGGCCACATTTCTCACAAAGCTGAGACACGCCTATGCAAGTAGGTCCCAGCTCTGTGAGAGATGTAGCCATTTAACGCAGTACATATAACATTACTCCTAACCTTTTCCCAGTTTAGACAATTTGATCAGCCAAAGGGTAAAAAGTGCTGATTCATGATTATTGCATTGTTCAAAATTTAACCTTGTCTATTTTCCTTGCTCAGAATTTAACCTTGTTAATTAGCAATTTACATTAGGTAATTATAATGAAATTAAGGAAACCAAGAGAGGCAAAATTATATGGGTGGAGATCATAATTAACAAACGATAAGCCCATAAATGAGAGGAAGATGTAAAGATGGATAAACAGAAAATGAAGAGACAACGAGGAAGAATGGAGACCTTCGGAGGAGGTGGCTAGGGCGGGGAGCTTGGAGATAAGGCAAGCAGAAGCAATGGCGCTGTGGAGGGGTTGAAGAGAGCTCAATTCTCGTCGCAACAGCCTGTCAAGTCTTTCATAGATAAGATTATTGCATTCATAAACATTTTCTAAAATATACCATCTCTGCTAAAGAAGAAGAAGAAGAAGCAGAAACTACCTTGAAGAAGGAGAGCGACTAGGCATGAAATTGGACTGAATCGAAGGGCATGGCGTTGCTGAAATTCTTGCTCTTGTTGTTGTCGTCGCTCTGCAAAACGCACGCAGGATTGTCGATCTTCCAGCGATCGAAGCTGACATTTTCTTTTCTCTCAGTCTGCCTTTCGTTTCCAAACCCTAAAACCTCTGCAAAACCCCCATTGCAGACACACAGTGACAGATACTGAGCTCAATTTCAACTCCTGCTTCGGATTGGGCTAGTTGGATCAACTCGTATCATATTTGTGCCCACAATATTCTGTGGTCTTTAAGTGAAATTTCAACCCACATGGACGGGCCAGATATATTGGGCTTGATCATCAAAGTCACAGAACAGGCCTAGTTCGTAAACCCGCGTAAACGAAAGGGGAATATGTTTTGAAAACTCGTAGTTTTTTTTTCTTTTTTTCTTTATACAAGTGATATTGGTGGATGGGGAAATCAAATTTAGGATCTCAACCGCACCCACCACTAGTTTTTATGCTTTAGTCTCTTTTTTTATTTCTTTTTCTACATCACAAAATTGTAGTGTAAAAATTGCCACCCTTGATTTATAACTAATGATTTTGTAGTAGTGATGTGCAAACATAAAATGTAGCATAATCAATTTTCAATCTTCTTTTTGTTGCAGAGAAGGTTGGTCTTGGTTCCATGGCAGTTGAACTTATAAACTCATAAGCACCTATACAGCTTTTCGCTTACAAGGTTTAAAGTTTACACCCAAGTTCTACCCTTTTCCACCCACAGAAATGCCACTTGAGCTAGGGTTGATGGACAAGATACCTATACAGTTTTACTTAAAGAGTTCATGAGCTAAACTAATTTATACTCAAGTTCAATTCCTTTTATGATTATGTATGTTCACATTGAAAACTCTTCATCGTCTAGTGTTGATCTGGTGATCGGGATTGACCATCTCCCCAAATGAGCCGTATAGTTTATGCACCGAATAACACCTCTGCCATTAGGACCATCAGGAAAATCAATGACAGTGATGCTTCCTGCATCAAGATGAAATGATCCCAGCCATTCCTTTGTCAAATTCAGGCAGTGCCCCATCAAAGCTATGTGCAACGCCGGATGACCAACTGCAACAACAACTTTTTCTGACTTAGCTTCATCAGCTACTTCATTTAGCAGAGACTTCCAGGCCTTCTCAGATTGCTCCCACACAGCTCCCGTCGATTTATCCTCAAATTCATTCAGCCAACCAGGCCGAAGAGGTGGAATCTCCTTTTCACCCTGCAGAAAGAGACGAGAAAGTATTGGTAACCAAGCACACTGAAAAACAAAGTTATAAGACTAGCATGTTTACCTAGCCTTATGGACTTTCTTACACTAAATAAGAAAGAGGTGGAAACAGGCATGTTTGATGCTATGTGGTCTATTGTTTTATTCTGTTAGGTTCTAATCATACAATTTTCCATGTCAGTTCAGCTCGGTTTAGGTTACTGCGGAGAACTGAAGCCAAAATTGAAGAATAACAAAACATATGATTGTTTTAGTTGACCTCATTCCCCAAAAACTGATGAGAGGACATAGATATTAAGATTGGCCAAGGCTGATAAGATGCCAAAATATTTTTAATTTCCTACAACACCCCTGGGATTTAAACAAGAAGCAGAAGTTCAAGTATGCCAAGTTTTAGATGTCTTGCCTCAGATGACTGCTGAAGAATGTCTTCAACATCAAGGTTCTCCATCTGTTTCGTCTCCACATAGCGTGGCACACAGTCAACACCCAAGCAATCTGCAGCTTCTTGCACCTACAATTGCGTTAAGCACTTAACTCCGGAGCAAAAACTCTTTTAAACAGAGGATTTAATCTCCAATTTGACATACTGAGTTGAGAACATCAAGGATGAGCTTACTTTGGAGATGACAGTTGCTGTTTCAACACAAGCTTTCTTTGGACTGCTAACTATAGAACTCACTTTCAAATCAAGCAGTAGCTCTGCAGTTTTCTGGGACTGTAATGTATCCGCCGAGAGAACATCAAATTCAGATCATATGACAATTTTATATGGAAATGTGAAAAGATAAAAAAGTATGTGATGTACCTTTATAATCCCAAGCATGTCCATTGGTTGATCACCAGCCGAAGGAAAACCAGTCTGTTATCCATTGAAGGTGATAATTTAGAAACACAATATCTGTAACTATTTCCAGATACTGTTCAGAGTGCACAAATTTGTATGATTATCTGAACTGGGAAAGTTCTAGAGTCATGAATTTCAGTTATGGTGCGTCTCAAAACGATAAACCCCCATATATGAGCTACTATATATATTTCTTTATAGGTTCTGAACTATTGATTTTGCACTAGTTCAAGTCAAAAATTGTCATTTAGACATGTGTGAAGTTAGTACTCAGGAGCATTATAGATCTTATTAATTCCTCATTGTTCACCAGTCCAGCCAGAGTGAAGACAACTCAAACAAGAGCTCATAATTCCCCACAAATTGCAAAGAGAATCAAAGGAATACATAGCTTGACGGTTTTCCTTGACAATCCAACCAAGTTATACTCAAACAAACCATTGATGAAAGAAGTGAGAATAATGTAAACAAAAATTTCACAAGGAACTTTCAAATTATCTCCTCATACCTCTGCATTGCTCTGTGTGGATCCATGACAAACAAGTATGATCCGGTTGCTTGCTTTCCTTCCTCCTGAACTTCCAGCAGCAACGGGTGAACTTGGGGTCTGCATTAATATTGCAATACCATTTAGAGGACAGCATATCCAATTACACAACCTACATAACAACAAAACCTTCATGAACCACATAAATAAAATTAAATAACAGAGAGAGAGAGAGAGAGAGAGAGAGAGAGAGATATTTTGAGATGTTTGATCTCCATACTTCTGGCTCAAACCAGCAGTGTATTCCCTAGTAAATAAGATAATAGAGAAAGTAATCTTCTTCTTTTTTTCTGTAAAGATTCCCTATACCTGGTTCAGGCGATTGAGGCAAATATATGGTGATCCACCCTCAGCTCGTGGGATGAAGTCCAGCACACTTACACCACAATTGCTCTGAACTAAAGTCCTAAAATACTCAGTTCCCAGTCCTGATTTTTCAAAGGGAAAAACGTAAGTTCAGAAGACATTTCAGGTACATCTGCAAAAATTAGAATAGAGAGAAAGGGAAAGTACCAATGGCTGTTGCAACAAGAGCCTGATTAACAGCATTATGAGCAACCACAAGAACCGACCTGCTTTCATGCAAAAGGATTCTGGTCCAGCAGCTCCTAGCGCGTGCCCATAACTCTCTCACTGGATAATGACCATCAATATTAAAGTTTGCGGCATCTACCTGCCATTGATGAAAAGCTGCACCAAACTTTGCTTTTCCCTCATGCTTTAAGAGCCCCTAAAATCAGAATAGTATAGCAATCATAAGGCTATCTCCACCTCATTTTGCATCTAACTCGTGCTGATAAAAGTCAAAAATTAAATGTGGAAGGAACATAGCAAATGGAACTCACTTGAAATGCATACAAGTCGATTTCCCTCAAATCAGAGTCCATAATCATTTCCTCTTTGCGAGTGCCCCATATAATTTCAGCTGTTCTCTTTGACCGTGTCAGGGGACTGCAACATGCAATGCATTTTGGCAGGAATGAAATGCAACAGAACATGTCTTAATAAGTAACAGTTTTAATAACTCTAAACTAAACTAATAGATTTTGCAAATGCTTTCATGAATTTTTCTAGGCACAGTGATATATTTGGTATAAGCTAAAATGTGGATTAGTGGGAATGCTTGAGAATGTTGGGCCATTAAACTTTGTATTTTTATAAGAACACTGTGTTGAGAGTATTTGACCCACATTGAAAAGTTAAGAGACCTAGCTTGGGTTTATAAGGAGTTGGGCTACTCCCCCCATTGCCAATTGGTTTTGGGGTGGAACCTTAACTTCCTTCATGGTATCAGAGCTAGGCTTCATGTGTTGGGCCCAACGGCCACACATGCTCCCACGCCACCCAATATGTGTTGTCCACATGTTAGGCTTAAAATTTCGCCACACGTGCAAGGGCGTGTTGAGAGTATTTGTCCCACATTGAAAAGTTAAGGGACCAAACCTGGGTTTATAAGGAGTTGGGCTACTCCCCCATTGCCAATTGGTTTTGGGGTGGAACCTCAACTTCTTTCACATTGACCCTCCCTTGTGGTGGTGTTGCCTCTCACACCACGAGAGGCCACAACATATAGAATTCAATACAAATCGGAAGGTTGAAGTTTCAGGGATTCGAAAACAAAAATAAAACAAAGCTGTAGAATGTGGAAAACAGTTATTTTATACACTAAACTAGAGCAACTGGGATAAGCCCTGTGAACAATACAGGCCTTAATCGGGAGCAAGCCTTAATCGGGAGAAGTTGCAAGAGGAAGTGATGCATACTGTCCTCTTATATGCCAAGGCCCCAGGAAATGCTCTCTTTCAATTGGATTTTGGGTTCATGATCATGGAAAAAGGTATTACCTAATTTCAAACTGAAAATTCCACTTCACACAACACTGATGCACACTTATTATAATTTCATAGACTCTTGCCCATTTGACACCTAACACCCCAATCATAACATTTAGTAATTATCAAGATAATTAATTAGTTAATTTAATTAAAACAAACCTCAGATAAGTAATTAGCTTGAAAGTCAAAATTCTTAAGAATTTACCAAGGGAAATCGCATAAGCGAACCTGGTGAAGCAGACTTCGAAAGAATCGTCGACGAGCATGAGGCGGGAAGTCTCGGCCTGAGCCTCACCTTTCTTGGTGAGCACAGAGAAATTGGAGCTCCCCTGGATCCTACCTTCCTCGTTCCACGTGCTCTGCCCGTGCCTCACCAGCACCACCCTCTTCGCGGCCTTCACCGCCGGGAACGGCACCGACGCGTAGAGCTCGGAGCTCAGCTCTCTCTCCTCCGAGGATCTGCGGACCTCCTGCACGCCCGAACCCGAAGAGCATCGGATCCTGGAGGGGCTGCTAGGGCTCGGCGGCGTTTTGCGAGTTCGAATTGGGAAGACGAAGAAGACGGTAGAGTTTGTGTGGAGGACGAGAGAGGGAGTGGGAGTGAGGGAAATCATAAGTTGGA